GAGGGCACCTTTGCCGTGTCCTGGCCCAGCCAGACGGCCGCGCCAGGGCCCGCCCAAGTAAGTGCCCGCCCCGCGCCCGCCCCCCAGGCTTGCCCCACCTCTGGGGGCGCCGAGCAGGGCGCGCAGGAGGGACAGGCCCCCGTGGCCTGAGGGTGAGGATGGGGCTCCGAGCCCGGAGGCCCTGGGGCAGCTTCATCCGTGGCTTCCAGGGGAGGGCGGACGTGGGGGGGCCCTCAGCCCCCCACACCCACGGCGGCCGGGCCTGCCAGTGCTGGCTGCTCGGAGGAGGAGGGACAGCTAGAGCCCCTACACGCTCTCCAGCTTTGACCTTCGCCCCAGCCTTGCCAGCCAGACGCATCCCTTTCTCACCGAGGAGGAAACAGAGCTGGGAAGGCTGAGGGGCTCAGTGCCGGCGCTCGAGTGCCGGCCCAGGTCAGCCCAGCCGTGGGGCTCCGGCCGAGCTGCCGTGGGCCCCTCCGGGGGAGAAGGTGCCGTCTGGGTCTGCGCAAAGCCTGCTCCGGCCTGCCCTGAGCTGTGTTCCGGCCGGAACGGGTGTGCCGAGTCCCGGGCACGGGTCGCCTTCGGGCTCAGCGGCCCCTGCCAACCTGCTGGGGCTGGCCGGGCGGGCGAGGAGGGCGGGAAGAGCTGTGACCTGGCAAGGTCTTGGGGCTGGGAGGGCAGGGCCCGGGAGACCCGTGGCAGTCCTGGCAGCCTGCCCTGGGCTTCTCAGCGGCATGCCGCTCGGTCCCGTGCCTGGGGGGGCTGCGTAGGTGTGCGAGGAACCGGCCGGCTCTGGACCCTGCAGCCAGCCAGGTCGAGGCCCCGCCCTCCCGCGTGGGCACCGCCCTCCCTGGCGGGTTTCCTATCCCGGCTGCAGCGTCCCGTCCTGTGCCTGACCCCAAGCGGCATTTATGTTGCAGCCAGCAGAGGCCTCGGAGGTGGCGGGTGGGACCCAACCTGCGGCTGCAGCCCAGGAGCCCGGGGAGACGGCGGCAGAGGACGCAGCCTCCGTAAGACAGCGGGGACCAAAGTCCTGTCTCTCCCTTCCTGCTGCCTGCCTGTCCGCCTGCC